GGGCATTATAAATGGTAATTTTGATTTTTTTTTCGGACCCTCAATTATCTGACCCATGAAAACTGCAACCTTGACACACATTTTCAGAGTCCGATATTTTTCGCTTATGTCGTCTTCATGACGGAATATGCACTCACCAATAAACCGACAGCGGTCTGTACGGAATTAGTTCGATCTAGGCAGTCTAAGCAATTAACCCGTAAAACACCGCATTGTTCGCTAAAAGAGAAAGATTTATCATCTTTGTTGAAAAAAAATATTTGGAACCTACCTTCTCACATTCCCATCCTTATAAAGATAAAACGAAGACGCCTGGGTAAACGGGGCAAGTCTCTTGATTAGTCTGACTAGAGATTCCTTGGAGATTTTCATTTGTGAGTGATAATCAAAATCTATGAATTCCACGATATCGGCAAATTTGGAACTCTTGTGCTGCGTCTGGAATATTCCCACACTTCAGTGGGTAAGTGGGGATAAAAATCGAAAAAGATACCCTAAATGCATCCGACAGAGCTCTTTCACCCTCTTTGCTTCCTAGAAGATTCACAACAGTAGTTTTTCCATACATGGACGTTAGCCGCAGGAAATGCCTAGAACAGCAAAAATTTCGAGACTCGAACAGACTTTAAATTGCATTTACCTGTGATAAGCTGACGCACTCGCTTCAAATGCTCTAACCTTCACCTTGTGAGAGCCAACCTGGACCCCAGGCTGTTCCCAGAACAGTGGTACGGACCCTCGTACTAGCACTACGGAGCACTCACACTCGTCGAAAGTTATGACCTGAAGATCCAGTTTTTCGATTACCAGGGAGGTAAACCTAACTCAAATACCTGCTCAGTTTCCACGAAATTCGCAACGCAACCCTGAGAGTTTGCTCCCCGAACGTTAAAGCGGGTGCCAACTCGCTCGCAACTGAGTCGTGACAATATCGCGACTTTACCCGTACGATGTCCAACGTATACAGTTCTTACTAGCACGGAACTGAATCAAAAATACCTATATCAGTTGAAAGAAAA